GCTGGGAACCTTGCACTGGACCCCTAATTGTTGTAAATCTTTTTTGTCGCTCAATTATGACTACTTTGTCTTTCCCAGAACTAAATGTTCCTAGATCTACCAACATCGTTATCTGGTTTATAATTTATTCATATTCAGACGTTTTTCCCCCCATTAGTTGCGTCTATTATAAGTATACATTTCCCTGAACATGATTAGTACAATTGGTATTTGGTAATTACACTGCATGTCCTAGAGAAACAGAACAGGGGTAAGGAAAAAAATCTCAGGTACAGTGCATATGTGCAAAGTTATGTATCCTGGCATCATAGACCCTTATCGTTTATCATACCAAAATCTTGCACAGTAAGCAAGGAAGATGTTTTCTATCTGACTAGTCTTTCTCCTTAGGCTTTGTCATGATGATGGTGCTTGATTTAAGCCAGTCAATGTCTGGTTGAATAGAAAAGTATACCTTACTGAAAAAGATGCCCAGTTTGCAAGTGTTCAGTCTTGCTTTTGCACTTCTTTATTGGTTGAGTGTGCGATTTCTTTTACTAGCTAGAGCCCTAGAAGTTCTTAGAATTGTTTGTATATACTGTCTATATGAAGTCTATCTTAAAATCAAATTTTTGAAAACAATAGAATAGAAATTCATAGATTTAATTGACATTGTGGTGGAACTAATTGTAGGTCTGATGATTCTATTGGTCTTCTCCCTTTCTACTTGTGTCGTGTGTCTTTTAATTATATTCTTCCATTATAGAAAAAACGCTGATAAATGGATTGAAGGGGTCTTTTAGCTTTTCAGGATGGCTACTTGTGTCATGATATATATCATAAATGCTTAACATTTTATTTTTATTTAAATATGCCTGCAGTACAAAGCATCTAAATGGCCCATGGTTGTTGTTTGTGTCTGAAAGTGGTTATGGAAAAGGGGTACCCTTGAGCAGTTTTCGCCATCACGTTTGAATCGAGTTGGTTTGATAGGATACAAGGTATTTTTTATATCATGGAAAAGCCTACTTTTGTCATGTTTAATCCATCTAACGTATTATATGTTTTTTAACACCTACATTCCAGTTTTCTGCTGAGGACCGCTTGCTGCTGTTTTTGTTGTAGGATTCTCATTAGCAGGTAATTTAGTTGATGTCATTGAGTCTGCTGATGTTTGGGTTACAATGCCAATAATTACCAGCATATCACTGCTGTACTGTATATCAATGTTTTTAAAAACTAGACTGGATCAGCTAATTCAATCAGTTGGACCGGGGGAACTGGGTTCGTGGTCCAGTCCTCTGGAACACCCAAACCAGCCTTAGAGAGAACCAGTCGAGACTAGCCAAAACTGGTTGAAACCAGAACACTTCTCCTAAAAACCGGACCCACAGGGGAAAAAAAGGAATCAACATTAATTAAAAATCAAAATTAAATAGTTTTTTTGACTAATAAACGTGGGGCCAAAGCTTCTCATTATTTATGACAAAAGAAGCTCGCCTCACACTCAATGTTTCAGACACTATGCTTTTACTTCTAAGTTACGTTTTTCCTTAAATTTTTTGTTTGCATCATATTATTCTAACACATACAATTAAAATATATTAATTTAATAAGCCTGTGTTTTAATTGGTTCAATGACCGATTTAGTGTTTTAACCTTGTTATTTAAATGTTGTAGTTTTTTTTTTTTTTTTTTTTCTATGTAAATTTTTTTTTCTTTTTTTTTTTGCAACAGATGATGGTGAAAGTGATGAACAAGTGGTTCTTGTGAGTCATAGTGGGGACTGTGATAGAATTAAGGTCCGGCATATTTCAATACAATCTCGATTTGCAAGGTATGCTTGTACAGTGTCCTTTCAGTGTATGCGTGGATTATATTAATTCTGGATTGTTATGGGTTCATCATGCCACCCAAAATTTAACTGTGCAGAATATTTATATTTTCATGTTCTCGTTCATACTTTTGAATTCATTCTTATAAATAATTCCATTATCTGCCTCATTTAAGGGCCGTTTCCTTTTGCCTGTCTGACGTTCCCTTTCGGCTACATTGTAATTAGATGAAGGTGAAGGCATCTCCAAAGTATGTAATATGGACATAGTCCAGAAATAGTATTAGATACTATCCAAGGAGTATAAAGTTGCAGAAAAAAGAAGTATAATGATAACTATTGAACTGCTTTGCTTTATCTGTATTTTTTGTTTTATCTAAGTTTTTTTTTTTCTTTCAAGAAAATGGAGATTCAATAAAGTAAAGAAAGAAAGTGGAGTACAAAAAGAATAAAACTTTCCAAATTTCAATTTTCAGTTATCAGAGCTCTATTCTATGTAAACATACGTTCGAAGAAAACTAAATTTAATGCTTAAATAGATTATCCGTGAACTTAATCCGTGCTTGTTAGAGGAATGGAATATGATAAATAGGAAGGGTTACGAGGGCACTCATCTCACTGTGGCTGACCCTGTCGCTTTTATAATTCCTTAAAGATAGAGATTAGCTGTAATAAACTCAATTGTTTTAAGGCTTTAGATAGTGATAAACAATTTCATTGAGAGTCTAGATTTTGGGAAAATTAATCTTTTGGCCCTTGTAGCTTTAACTTAGTTGTAAATCAATCCCTAAACTTTGACTCGTTATAATTCAGTTCTTGAATTTTTGATTCGATTGTAAATCAATCTTGAACTTTGCCTCTTGCAATTTAATCTTGAAGTTTCAATTTCTTAAATATTGGCCCCTATATTTTAAAAAATAAAATTATAAGACTAAAAATATTTTAAACTTTATAAATAACGAGTCAAAGTTTAGGGATTGAGTTACAATTTGGTCAAAACTACAAGGACCAAATGATTAATTTTCCCTAAGTTTATCAACACATTTTCTCAAGTGCATTGTGCACATTGGAACACCTATATACTATTTTTTTTTTTTTTATTTTCAGTCAAAGATACTATAATTTGAATATGCAACCCCCCAAGCCAAAATAGCTTCATGGCCAGCTAGTTTTTGGTACCTTACTTGTGTTATTCTTGAATGTGGCATCATCGCCATTTTTAGTCTTTGAATCATATGAAACATTAATGTTGCCTATGGCACTCCATCATTTCATTCAGCCTGGAGGATTGTCACAGTAAAGGTTTGCTCACATCATTTGAAGTTTTAGCCTTTTCTTGATGTTGACATCCTGTTGATGAGTAGTAAGAAAAAATAGAGCAGTTATGACCGTCTAGGGTGAGGAAGTTGTTTCATGGGAGTCAATATATACAGATTAAGCTTTTAATTTGTAATTTAAAACTTTGTCGTTTACAAAACTTAATTTACTGCCTATTGATGAAATTTCGATTATTTGTTGATTTATTGAAAGAACTGATATTTTCTTAATACCTTGATTATGTATGATTTATGACAATAAAAAATCTGTAAGGACTAAATTTTGAATTTTCAGAACTAAGGAGTTTGCAGAGAACTAAGGATCAAATTTTAAATTTGCAAATAAGGATTAAAGTTTTTTTTTTCTTTTCCATACTAGCTTTATGTTTTTATATGATTGCATTTTGTGATTTCTTTTTTACTTTTTTTAATTAAAAGAATGATCCAACTTGATCAAGCTAGCTCGACCATGTTGAAATTAAACTTGGTCAATGTTTCAAAATGATGCGACTCGGAGCTTGTCTTTAGAGTGAACCAAAGTATTGCGTTTGAATGCAATGCTTTGGGTTTTATTGCATTTGATTTTTGTTCCCCTTTCTATATTGAGAAATATAATACGGTAGCTGAGTTAGTCAACTATATCCCTATTTTGTTTTAGAATTGGCATTATTATATGCACCTTCTTTGGCTACATTCATCTTGGCAATTGAACAATCTAAGCCTGTTCTTATTTGTTTGCCTTGGAGGATACTGCTCTAAGCTTATTTGCACAAATCTGATGGTCTTTTTAGTGCTCTCATCTGTTTTGGTTTTTTGCTAAATTATCATCATACTGTTGGTAAATTGTCTGAATTTCTGTTCACAACTTGGATGAGAAGTCTTCTAATTCTTGAGGCCTTTCATTCCTACTTTAAAAGCTTGACTAATAAAATAGTACAACGATATTGTTTAATCTATGTAGTGGACTCCATTTAGTGGGATAAGGCTTGTTTTCATTCCTTCTTGACTGATTTATAATACTCACAATGATTATCTGTTAGGGGAGTTATTTTGATGCGGCTTGATCATGCTGGAAAGATCCAGTCGGCTTCCTTAATTTCACCATCGGAGGGTGAGCCTGAGGAGGTTGAAGCAATTGCTCAAGCCTAGTTGTTGACAGTCTGAACTGTAGTTTTGCCCTTCATGAAATGCTGTTGCTTGATCCTGAAGCAAGTGCATGGAGAGTTAACATTGCAGTTGATATTGAAGATTCTTCATGCGTCTGCATATATTATTTTCTGCTGGGAAGGGGATGAGGAGGGTTTTCGGATTACTTTCATGCAGGTGGCCGAAAGGGGAAAGAAAAGTTGGAAATTACCTGTAATATTGTTATTAGTGTAAATCTTATCAGATTGCTGTAAGTTATGACCGTACTATGCTATTGACAGTTTAAGTTAGCTGACACTCGAAAGGGATAAAAAAAAAAAGTTTTGAATCACTAAATTACATGAGTCAACCCTTTCACTTCAGATTCGCACTATTTTTCCGTTTGCCAAGGGGGAGGGAGCCTTCATGTTTTTTTATTTTTTTTGGTTTGTTGAGAAAACAAATGCACTAAAGTAAAAAGATTATCGTGCAATAACATTATGAAACAACCAAGGCAAAAAAATAAAATGCGAAAAGAAATAATCCTCATTTAAAAGCCTGATATTAAAGTGAAGAAAGTGGGTAAGCATGGAAGAGATGTCTAAAGTCACAGCATAATTTTAGTTTATATGAAGTTGATTTTTCATAATAAGCGTCTTGTGAATGCAGTTGAGTTTCAAAGAGATTGAAGGGAGATTGTAATTTTTGTGAAAATTGAAAATATACTATAGAGCTGAACGGAAGCAAATGAGATAAAGTGAGCTAAACCAAACATTGAATATTCTTCCTGTGCTTTATTTTCTTCATGCAAAAGCATTCATCAGCACAGGGCAATGCAGATGTGGGACCTCTTCCTTTATCTCCTTTTCCCTCCACTTCTATCTCAACCATTCATTAATTATATAATTTTAATAAAATTATTTAAAATTATTTAATAAAATAATATGAATGGTTGAGATGGGAAAAGTAGAGGAAAATTGAGAGATATCCTCCACCTCGCAGATGTTCAAACTGAAAACATTATAGTTTTAGGATGTCTTTGAAATCACCAAGGTTGGATCCAAGGATCAATGTTTTCAAAATTGCACTGTAAGTTGAATTGGAAATGTTAGTGGTTTGCAAAATTTAATTGACTGGACTCATTCAATTTGATGTAATAATTAAATTAAAAAATATTATTTATATATAATGATAATAATAATATAAGAAAATAAATATTAAATTGCTATATAATTTGACAATAAAGCTAATATTTCAAGTTAATTATGAGTTAATAAGTCTTATAACACAACATCAAATGATTCAATACCAACATTCACAAAAGATATCCCTATACTAATTTAGATTTTATTTTTACCTAAATATTTATTAAGATTAAGACAAAAAGAATGAAAATGATTTTATCAAAAAAAGGTATTCTAGAAAAAAAAATGAAAACAAAGGTATTACTTTGATATAGGGTTAAAATTGGAATAAAGTACACAAACCAAACTTGTTTTCACCTTCTCAAAGTGTTTGAAAAGTGAGGGAGGTTTTTCTAAGGGTTAGAATTTGAATAAAGTCAAAAAAAATTGAACCATTTGGTTTTCATATAACTGCTCCGATTCACAGTTTTTTTAAATTTTCTTGTCTAACCACTGATTTAGAGTGACTCAATCCTGTTTAAGAGCTAAAATAATTTTGTAGTTCAAGCAAAGTCAAAACAAAAATCAATTAGATTATTCGATCAAATTTTAAAATCATTGCCAAGAACTACTTGAAGGGGGCCAAATTGAAAATAAAATGTGATATGGGGGTCCAAAATCTAGTAGTGATAATTTGGGTTAAGCTTGAAGGGTCATTCCAAATAAGCACAAAAAAAATCTTAGAGTCGGATTTGGGAGTTTAAAAGATTTTCTTTACTTCGAACTTATTCAAACCACCTGAATAAACTCAAAAAAATCTGAGGTAAATAAACTCAAAAAAATCCGAGGTAAACCTGAATACCCAAATTAAAAAATCTTAAGGCCAAGTTTGGGAGTTTAAAAGATTTTCTTTACTTCGAGATTATTTGAGTCACCTGAATAAACTTAAAAAAAATCCAAACTAGGCCTAAATACTCAAATTATACAATAAAATAATATAAAAATTGAAATTAGATGAAATATAAAAAATAAAATAAAAATAATATTTAACAAATTGGATATATGGGCCAACTTGAATAAGTCTGAAAACCTGAGGGATTGGGGTTGGACTTATTTATATGAACTTTTTTTATATGATAAGATATTTTAAATTCAATTCGAATAAATCTAGCATGAATTGAGTTCTGTCCAAATAAACCTAGTACACCTCTCTGCCTTCCTTGGATCTGTCCCTAGAAATCACATCCTTTAAACTTCATTTTTCTATTTTTCAGCATAAGCAGGGACCATGATGAACAAAGTTCAACGGAAATGAATGATATGGGACATAAATTCCGAAGGTTAGGGATCTTTTAGTTTTTTTTTTTTTTGGTAGTTGAATGAATATTTGTAAATGGATTAAAATTTGTTTTGAGGGATGTTGCATCAAAAGGACCCCTATTCATAATTTTACATTTTTACGATAACACATAATTTAACATTTTTTTATAATACATAATTTAACATTTTAAATTAAAAGGTTCTTGTTCAAATTTATCCTCAAAGTTTTCATACAGGTGTAATTGATATTTTAAAGTATTTTTGGCGCAATGTTGTCCCAATATTTTTCAAAACAGTACATTTTGCCTTCTGTTAATATTTTTCAACACGCTGCATTTCTTCTCATACATTAACCCTGTGTAAGCCGAAAACATTTTTTACCATTGCCACATGTTCAATCATTTTCCCCGGAAAACATTTCCATCAGCACAAAAATAATAAAACATCGATTCAAGCCTTCAGGCGTCTCCGGAGAAATATTTATTTTCCAATAAATGTCTCAATACAGTCTCAAAACAAAAACAATTACTCCAATTAAAAACCACCCATGTAGAATCCAACAGCTTCAAGCCTCAAATATTAGCAATCCCATCAAGCAATTAATAAGTACATAAACAATTAAGCAAATAAATAAATAATTTAATCCCAACAGTAAATTATGAATCCTACACTGGCCGTTATTATTTCTCAAACTAAACAAATGGGCTTAAGGCTTTCCTTAGCAAAACCTCAAGCTTCCGATTGCTTCTCATGTGCTATGCTGGACTCATTTGAAATGTTTGTAATTACATAATAAAACTTGATAGTCTAGTAACCACAAAAATATTTACAAAGTATGATAGGCAAGTTAAAAGTTGGTTGAGTAGAACAATTTAACATATAAAATTTAATTCAATACATATAAAGAGATATAAAATCATGCATATATACATGCAATCTTACCTCTTCCTCATTACTCCTCTAACTAAACCCATGAGCTACAATAATTAACAAAATCCATCCATCTAATTGGATTTTATCAAACTTATCAATGCCAATCTATACCCTAATCAAAGGTTTAGCACTTATTACCGAACCATAGGTTCCTCTCTTTAAAACTTCTTAAAAAGATATCTTGTCTCAAGGGCTTTCTCCATAAGAGATATCAAAGGCTTAAAAATGGCTGACTATCATGTGTAAAGTGATAGCAGATCACAGGTTCATAATCATGGAAACAAAAAACTTCCCATTAATATAACCTTCTTCATATGCAAGTAGTGATGGAATCATTTTCCAAAAATTATAACCACATCATTCAAAAAACAGAGTAATGGCCTATAATTAATTTTTTATAATCCTCAATAAAATTTTTCATTATTTTCTATACCTCAAAACTTCTTTTATATGCCCCGAAATTACTTATAATTAATTCATTACCTAATGATCAATGCTTAGGATATTACACAACTTTGCCCCTCGTAAGAAAATTAATATGCATTAAGTTGCTTAAATTAAAAATAAATTATAATAGACTAATGTTATTTCATTTCCAAATAAAAGACTAAAATATCATTCTAACCAATCATTTTGACCAACTATTAGGTGATTATTAGATCACCATGACTAACAACAACATGGATAAGTAATTAAAAATATTAATTTAAAAAACATCTTATTAAAATATTAATAATTTAATATTTAGTAATTTAAATATTATTATTTATAAATCTTAACACACAGTCTATAAGTCAACTTTTAATATATACAAATTTTGTAAGGAGGACTTATAAATTTTAAAAGAAGACTTATAATTTATCATATTATTTTAATTTATAAATCAATTAGTGTGAAAATCACATTCACCCATAAATTTCAGAAAAACTAATTGAACTTTTAATAGTGAGAAAGAGTGAGAGCATGTTGCAGATGAAAGACTCCAGAGATCAGAAAAAGAAACGAAACAAATGGATATGAATCCTGAATTTTGAATTTTAAAACAGTGGAGGGAAGGGAAAATCAAAACAAAACTAGAACAAAGCCTAAAGCAAGCCATACTACTCATCACAAACAGTGAAAATGGATACAAAATTGGCCCTATTCATCGGCTCATGACCATTCATTTTCTAGATATTTATATGGGAAAATGACATTAAAATCCATTTAAATTATCTAAATGACATATTGATCCCACAAAATGGCATAATTCTCTTGGAGTCCCATGGAATTTTTTGTCATTAGGAAATTAAAAGAAATGACCAAATTGCCCTCAATTAAAACAAAATCCCAAGTCTAAATGTAGAGTAACTAGCACGCATTTTTTCTTCTACTTCATCTTCTTCTTATCCTCCTCTTCTTCTCTTCCTTGTGATCTTCTTCTTCTCCTTCTCCATTGTCTTAATTTTTTTTCAAGTTGTTATACGTGGGTAATGTTTTTAAGCTACTGAATGTAGGTATATGTAAGCAACCATTCTTCCTCTGTTAGTTCTGCTATATGTAAGTAAATTTCTTCTCCTCAAAAATTTCTCTTCCCATATGTGATAGTTGAAATTGATGTAGGTTAATGTGTGTAAATGATTGAAGTCTTCATTTTCTTTTCATGCGTAAAGCTTAGTAACATGGGTATGGATACTAATATAAAGTTGTGAATATAAAAAGAATAGTTGTTGTTGGATAAAACATAACAGATATGTTATCTTGTTATTTGAGAAATAAACATGTTGAATGATGGCTATTTCATTGTTTTAGAGTGGCATGAGAAATGGCTTCTTTTGTTTCTAGTTTTGAAAAATACCTATTTTGTTATTTCCACATAAGGAGACAATTTGTAAAAAATATTGAAAGTAAAATACAATATGATGATGGGAGTGTGATGGTCAAAATGATAAGAGAAGGGATGACACTTGAAGAATGTAGAATAATAATGTCAACTTATTTTGGCATTGACACTAATTTGAATGACA